TGGTACAAAGTTATGGTGGAATCAAAACGTAATTTTCTATAAATTTTTGCGTGAGGAATGACTACAATTTTTATGCAGATTTTGTGAAATATTTTAGTAAAACACGGAGAAATAAAAGTAAATAATTTTCCAAATAAAAAACTAAAAACGCAAAGCAATATCAATTTCAAACACATATTCATAAAGTACGTACGCTGTTTAAAATCTGCTTAGTTACGCAGCCAACACGGCGATAACCACTCAATCTTTCTTGCCATAACGGGAGCCTGCTGGACAAAAGGACATGGACACGTCAATACGCCCCGCTGAACGACGGTCATTTGAGTGGGGGAAAGCAACTAAGGACAGCGAAACGTCTGCCGCTTTTAGCTTTAATCTGGATACAGAATGGGCAGAAAGAATCTGGTTTCTTTTCAAGACTTGAGATTTTAGTTGAGGGTCTCGACCACTAGGAAGGTTAAAAGTATTCTTATTACTAAATTATAATTAATCCCTTAGCAAACGTACTGCTGTTTTTGTAGTTTATATTATTTTATTTTAAATTCAAAATTATTATCAAACTTTTTACACAATGTACTATAGGTAAGTAAACAACTTTTAAACTAATCTTTTCTTTTGAGTGCCGTGACAAAAATAAGAGTTGAGAATCACTAATCTAATTCAATATAATCTCGAACCACATTATAATGTTGATTTTATTTCATAACTCGTTTTTTTCAATACTTTTGCCACAAAAGCGGGAACGCACTGGTTTCTTTTGGTAGCATACTGCCTTCTTGGAGGCCATTTCCACCCTTCGCGGTTCATAAACCAAAGAGGTAAGACTGAACGCCGACTATTGATAGTTAGAAATTTAAGTGAATCAATTTTTATTCTATTATTTAGAACTAAAAAATTTGGATTTTTTTTATTCAAGAGAATTCAAATTAAAAAAAAAATGCAGCATATTTTGAAATGAAATCAGTGCTTCACTACACATTAAAGGCGGGGCATCTTGACAAAAGTATGCTAGGTAACGCAGCGACCGCTTCGCCTCGTTTTTCGTCCTAGAGCGGGCGATATTTTGTATAATCATAAAAAAAATTTACACTTAAAAGTTTATTTAAATACTTAAAACTACAAGAAATATTAAAAAAGAACTAAACACTAATTACAAAAAAATGTTTTAAAGTACATATTTATGAGAAGAATCTAGTATATTTTATGTGTGTGATAATGTTGATAACACTTGCCACGGTGAAGAGGTGCATTGCAAAACTCGCATCTGAAGCAAGTCAACTTTCTTTTTTTATGTACCGCACAAACTACGCAGTTTCGTTAGGCATATAACTTTTTGCCTTTATTTTCTATCCGAATTAATTTGTGCTTTTTGATGTCTAGCGAAAGACGTCCAGGCGGATCAGTCCGTGGTGGCGAGTTCGATGTACCAGGTTGTAGCTCTTCGATGTCCATCAAATCATCTGCATATATATCTTTATTTTCACGTGAAACCATATTGAAAGATTTCAAAATTTACTGCAAGTAGAATTTGAACAACCAAACAGCTTCAAACCATAAAACGTACTAAATACAAATGTCAAATGGCGCATGGATTGCGCAGTGTGGTTGCAAACCATATTGCACAATCCATGTGCTAGCTACAGTTGAGATAAGTGCACAAGGTACAGTTGCGCAAATTACAGTCGAGATAAACCGTATTACTACGACTCCCGCCTTTAATGTGTTAACGTTTTGTCTAGTCATCAGGCTATTTTGAGAGCAGGAGATATGAAAACGCACCCAGTGTGCTACCGTTACAGCACAAAGGCATACTGGAAGGAGGGAGAAAATACCTTATAACTTTAGACAAAATAATAATAATAATAATTGTAAATGTTTAACCTTATCCCCTCTCTAATTTTCAACGATTTTATCCCAACAAACCCACAATATTTTTAGCCGCTAATTTTGTTGCTTAAGACGTAATTAGGAAACGAAATGCTTACGCATCATACCGTTGATATAAACAATTACAAAAAATACTGTTTAAGTCTCAATTAAACATTATTTAAAGACAACTCTTGAAAACTAGCTCTTTAAAAATGGGTGTGTCTGTCTGAATTTACATTTTTACTTCCTTGTACGAAGTAAAGGGAGTATTGCAAACGCGAAAAACTTTCGGGTGTCATATTTCAACGAAAATAAATGAACTGAATAAAAGACTCTTTTTCCCAAAACGGATCGTAAAATGAATTTAAAATGGATTCAGAATTTCGTGACATCTGTACATACATACGTATGTATACATCTCACAAAACTAAAAAAAGCGTAGCTACAGAAAGTTGAAATTTTGTATGTGGGCTGTTATACCATGTAGTTCTGCACCTCCTTTTTTGGTTGTAATCGGCCGCACCAAAAAATATATACTCACTCTGCTTCTCGTCTCGGTGAGCTCAGTTCTGTTATTCTTATATAGTGATAAATTGCGAGTTTTTTGCTTTAAAAGTGGTTGAATTGTGTTGTTCTTATGTTCCGGTTAATTTTTTTATACCTTTAATTAATCTGCGTTAATTAGTTGTAGAATAATCAACAATTTAAAAGTTTTAGTAATGCAGCTAAACCTAATGGAGTCACCATTTGTTTACATTTGAAGGTCTTAATTAATTAGTGAATTCTGTTTCTGCACTTCTTGTGTCTTTTTGCCGAGTGGAAACAAAATTAAACTTTCAGTTTTGTGTACCTAAAAATCTGCCTTCTTGCCCGCTGGCAAGATTCCTTGTTTTTGCATAAACTCTTAATTTTTATTGTTTAAAAAAAATACTATTTGGTGTTTTTATGCTTTTCTGTATTTTACAATTTTTAACGATGTTTTGAGTTTCTATGTAGTTTTGCTTGGCCCCAAAGTGAGAACTGAATTAAATGAATAATTCCCCTTTTAATTTTTAAAATCAAAATCAATCATATTCCAAGGAAGGTCTGGAGTTATTGCATTTTACATAACCTTTACAATAGTGGCTTGAATGACAATTAGTCGGTATAACTACTGTTTATACAACTTTTCTGAGGAATAGTTTCTCACGTGAAGTTTAGCTCTGCACTCTCATGTGTGCACCTCAAGGCTGTGTATTCAATGCAACTCTGCACAGCCTAAAAATAAATTCAGTTCTAAAAGAACCACTTCGAGGAAGTTGTACATTGACAACCTTCAAATAAGTTTCCAAGGTGCAGATCTGAGGTACATCGAATGGCAGCTGCAGAAAGCATTTAACATGATTCATAAATGATCGGTAAAATATAGATTTACTTTTACCCTGAGCCAGAGATTAAGTTTCAAGGATCAGTGATTCCAGTCATTTCTGAAGTTTTGGAGTAGGCTGTTCGATTAAAAACTAACATTCTTTTTTGCATGTTCTGTACTTGGGGAAGAAATAATTCAAAATAATGAATATCTTAAAAGGTTTGGGGAACATATTCCTGGGTGCAGATCGCTCCACAAAGCTTCGCATTTACCGAGTGCTCTTCTGTTCAAAGTTCAACTATGCATAGTTGCAGATTTTACAGCTATTCACAATAGTGTGGCTCATTATGAAATAATTGCTAAATTGTTATTCTACACAAAATTAACAAATGATAATTAGGAATAACGTCCAGTGATCACAAGCGAGTCTACATTTAAATACTTTAGATGAGCTCCATGACTCCAGATGGCTGGTTATTTCCGAATTCGAAAAACCGTGTAGAGGGTATGCGAAGCGGTCTATGTTAAGTCGTGCCATTTAATAAATGATGTTAATTACAACCCGGCCAGGTATTTAAAAAAACAAAAAGACCAATGGTTGGCATTGATTTGCTCGGACACTACCCTAAAACAAATATAAATAAAAACAGATATTTGTTTACAATTGTAGATCATTTTTCAAAATGGGTAGAAATAGTCCCTCTTAAATGGGCTTCAGCTAAAATAGTCGCAGATTCGTTTTTAAATAACTATATTTTAAAATACGGGGTCCCACTAAAAGTAATATCAGATAATGGAAAAGTTTGTTAACAGTATATTTAAAAATTTGTGTACAGGACTTGGCATACGCCACCTACAAATGGTACCATATAGACAGCAATTGAATACTGCGGAAAGCGGAAATAAGAATATTGTAAAAATTATCAGGGGATACGTTAAGAATTACCATGACCGCTGGGACAGCTGTGTCAATGTGTTAGGTTTTGCCTTGAGAACAGCAAAGCACGATACTAATACAGAAGACAACCGCAGAGTTATTTCTAGGAAGAAAAATTCTAACGCCTTTGGACAAGCTGTTGTACAGTAAAGAAAAGAAGATTTCAAGTTAAACGACATACAGCAAATCATAGTTCTGTGGATCTTATAAGTCAACCAAGTTTAGAATGCTATTAATGGAACCAAAGTACACAAAGCAGAAATGCGCCACATCTAACAGATGAAACGACTTCAGTTTTCTTTCATATATACTTACAGAAAAAAGCACTTTCAAATACCAAAAATAACTTTTCTGGATGCAAATAATGAAGTATTAAGCCAAGCTACATAAAAATCATGAGAAATACATTGCAAAACAGGTTGGCACGAATGTGGTTGGAAATTGGGAGAGTTGGACACTCGGCACATCCCATGGAAAAGCATACATTACTTCCCAGTTGAAGTTAATCTTTATCTGTCTATATACAGCAGGATGAACTCCAGAGTCATTACATTTATGGGACAGGATAGTGAATCAAATAGCCAAGTACAACTGCAAGTGTATTTACTGCTGCATCACCCCGCTAGAACCAGATCATAAGCATCACTCTCTTACCCACAAATTGGATTCAGAAAGTATCTGCATAATTTTTGAAGTAGTGTAAATTTTAATACATAATGATTTGCTATGTTGCCAGTGAATTCTGTACTACAATCTACCCAGCCATTTTTAAAGTTTAGCAATGTTGCTAGAACATGTTTGTGAGCATAGATATTTTTAAAAAAAATGATTAATGAACAGACAAAATTTCAAAGTTCAGACACTTTTATTCCAAAAATTCACTTTTATGTCGCAACTTGTTCTTGACGCTGCTGGCCAGCCCCAACTGGTCTATGGTTCATCATCAGATAATCTGAATATTCTTGATAAGGTGATTTGACCAGAGGGTTTTCCTTCCATAAATCTGGTGTAAGATAGCTGTAAGTCTTCTGGATGGCTAAATAAGTTGCTTTAGCTAGTAAAATAAATTTTTAATCAGAATAGAATTTTAAAACACTATATAGTTCAGCATATTTTTTTTTTTTTTAATTTTTGCAATAACATTTACAAATATAAAATGGCAAGACACTTTCAAACACACACTGCAACTCTTGGTAAAAAAAAAAACCGAACAACAATAATTAATAGACTACTTACATACCAATCAAACACTTTTTAGGAATTTAAAATTTTCAGTATTGGGCAGTTTTCTTTTAGTATGCAGCATCACAATTGCAAACATCTATTGCTGTGAACACATTTGAAAAACTAAAATGTGCTCTGCAATTACAATAAGTTTTACAACACAATTTATTGGTTCTCCCCCTACTTGCTTTTAAAATTTTATATCTTAACATTTATTTTGCAGGGATATAAATTTAACTCAAAAGAAACAATTATGAAAGCACAAGATAGTGCTTGGAATATTTTCAGTTCAACATCAATTTTCAAACTAGAAATATGTCAATTGAAAATTTTTTTTACTCTTTTCTTGAAATCAAGCTTCACAAAGGCATAATTTATTAAAGTTCATGTACGTTTAAGATAAAATCAACATCTGAATACCCTGGAATAAAACTGTATAAACTATAAGCAAATTTATATACTGCATCACAAAAAGATACTGAAGGCTTTATGACAAGTAAATAATAATCCCAATCAGGAAGGATGAGAAAAGATTAAGGATACATTTTTAAAATAATACCATTTAAAATAACCCAGGAAATTTTTAATCAAGTAACAATGATTTTGTGAATGAAAATTTCTTGCTTACGTTCAGCAACTATTATAGCAATTTAATCAGAATAAACTTTTAGTTTACTAATCAGCAAACAATTATGATTCAAGTGAATGATATTCTACAGGATCAGTATGAAAATAATGTATTATTTTCAACTAAACAATTTCAGAAATTCAACAAATATGAGTTAACAGGACAGACATTTGCAGAACTTTGAGATCACAAAAACACATAATTAATCACAATAAAAATATGAAATAAAAGGCATAGTGCAGATGAAACAATTATTTTCTTATTTACCTCAATTACAAACATTCCAGATCAGAACCAGATATTTATAACACAGAGGAAAATATCCAGTTAGTTGCCTTATTATGTGCTAATGCAGATAATTAAAAAAATATATATATAAGTTCTCAAACACATCAGTATTACACCAATTAAAGACTGTAACAGGATTTGTACACATTTCTGCACACGGAAATTAAGCACTTTTAAGGACCATTAATGAAAAAGATAAGGTCATAAAGTCATTATAAGGACAAAAGTTGTCAAATTTATTATAGACTGCTTTAACAACCTCAGTGGTAGTGACGAAGAATAATCATTTTTATCATATCACTGAATGCATCATCAGTTGCATATTAAGTTAAATTATATCTTAGCAACAGCTAATATAGGAAAACTTCTGACAGATGGCAATAACTAATTAAGGACTTTTAAGGACCAAAAAGTGATTCCAAAAACCTAAGAACTTTTACAGATTCTAAAGCTGCGTTCACACGGGGCGTGAAGGGCATAAGTGGTTAAAGCCGAGCTCTGTTGCCCAGGCAACCAGTCTGTGGTACGTCACAAAATCTGGTTTAGAGCTTGTGGCGTAGGGTTCAAAGTTTTCAACTTTTCGCTAAGTTTGGGATAAGTGTCGACTAATCAGAGCGAAGATAAAACAAGCAGAGTGGAGGCGGGAAATCAATCGAGCAGGAGAACAGCATGGAAAAGTTGTAGACATATCCACACATGTGCAAATTTAGCTTCTCTCATTGGCCACGCCTTACACCCCGTTCTCGCAGGTGTGAATGGAATTCCCGTATTTTATGCCCTTTACGTTGCTATCTGAACACAGCCTTATTACTACTCGACTACTGGTAGATCCCAATTAAGAAAATGAATACTAAAACATTTCACACTGCTCAAGAAATATCGAAGCTCTCTGTATTAATATCCACAAAATTATAAGTAACGTTTCCCTTGACAGTTTTACTAAAAACACAACCACTAGATTTAAGCATAATCGTGATCATAAAATATTACAGGAAATTCTTAAGAGTTAAAGGAATTAATTTGCACCTATACCCCCACCAAATAATTCTGTTACAGCTGAAAAAAAGCAGATAAGTCTATACTGACAACGATGTTACACAATAAGCAGCTATCAACAAATGGACTTACTAGGCAGAAACAACTGCATGTATCAGTAACTTCAAATGAAAATAGATTTTTGTCACGCATGGGGAAACTATACACAACTCTATAATTAGATAAAATTATAACATCCATTATTTACCAAAATTTCCTAATGTGGCTGTAGATCCACGAGCAGATGTATAGCAATCTTCAATGCCAGCCATAGTGAGAAGTTTCTTCGGAACAGGTGCAGAAACTATTCCAGTTCCTCTGGGAGCAGGAATAAGTCTCATCAAAACACTGCCACACTTTCCTGTAACCTAAAATTAAATTTTTAAGATTTAAGGTAACCAGAAAGTCATTATAAGGACAAAAATTCTCAAATTTAGACTGTGCTATAACAACCTCAGTGGTAGTGACGAAGACTAATCATTTTTATCATCTCACTGAATGCATCATTGGTTGCGTAGTTCAATTAAATTACATTTTAGCAACAATACAGGAAAATGTCTGACAAATAGTGATAACTAATTTGTACTTACTGGTATCCCTTACAATAATGCAATTAAAGTTTTGTTTGTGAATTTTACTACAGAAGAGAAAATCAATTTTATGACCTAGATGGTATGAAATAGAATGTATAATTACCATAACATTGCAAAACTACAAAAACCATCCTTCTCAGATCTTTACCATTGGAACTCATTTAATAATTCTAAATGAGGTCTAATGAGATATGAAAACCAAAAATAAAAAATTAAATATGAACAAATTTACTTCAAACTAAGTGAAGGGCACAACCTAATTGCTAAACTATCTGCCTCATTTTGAAATTTTTTGCTAATGTAAAAAAAATTTTTTTTACATATAAATGTTAAATAAATAAATGTGTTTGTAGGCAAAAATGCTTGTCCCTTTCCAATTTTATGCTACCTATATCTATGTTACTGAGAGTACGTACTGTCGCATTTAAGCAGACCTACATTACAAACTAATTTTGCATAAAATAATCTCATGGTAATGGACTTAACATGAGTAAGACAAATTGCTTTTATTGATCTGCTAAATTTATACCCAAAAAATTTCAATCGATTTTTTTAATATTTTTAAATTGTATAAATATGTTTATAGTCATCTTTATGCAATACATTGCTCAAATTAAACTTTAAACATTAATATATATTCTGAATTTTCTTTCTTGGACAGCATATATAAGGAAAACTTGAAAATGGGCCATCCTTCTATTTGTAACTTACAGTATGAGAAACTGAACTATTAAGTCAGATCAGAAAATAAGTGCATTATACATACAATTTCCTAACATATTATTTGGGTACATAACACACAAGTTCCATTCTGTGGGCTGTGTCTGTGCAAAAACAGTACTACAAACTACTGGAAATTAGTTTCATTTCATAGAATACTAAATCAAGCAACTTGTACTTAATGTGCAATCATTTATTATTAAAATCAAACAGATGTATTAAATGAGTTTAAATAGTATATTACTGCAAACTCAAACATTTTGAAATATTTTGAGTTTTAAAATTTAAAAAAATCTATTAATGTCAGTTCCAAAAATTCCTAATTTTTGCATCTTCAGTTATAAAATTGCTTAAAAAATTGCATTGATACATTAACATTTAACAGCACTGATGACTGCATATTGCAATCAGTTGGAATCATTTCGACTTAGTCCAGAATAAGAAAAATGTCAAACTTGCTATGAGCAGACTCTTCCCCTTTTTAAATTCCTACATCAGAATTTTTTTTACAACAGTTCCATTAACCAGATTTAAAACTGAAGATAAGAGCTAGACTGTTATTCAATATATATATATATATAATAAAACACATCAATTGCTTAACAAAAAGAATAGTCTTTATACTGGAACAGAACATGGGACCTAACAGATGGAATTTTGCTTCTAAGGGAAACAGAAATCGTGAAAAAATTTACACATTACCGTTTCAAGCAATCAAAGGTTTTCAGATAACAGTAAAATGCTTCTAAAACTCATTGTGCAGTTCACAAAGAAATATTACTAAATATCCATATATTATGAAAACTACAGGACCTAATAAGTAAAAAATGGATTTATATTTGATAAAATCATCATATTCATTGCTACAGAAGTTTTGGTCTCTTATAATGACCAAAAACTATTTTAGGGGGAAACAGACCTGCACAATTAAATGGTTGAAAATAACCTTGCACAGCCTAATAAATAGGAAACTATAGTTAATTCAAAAAGACAAGTTTAACTTGTGCTCAGTTTAATTCATAAGATAACCTTATCTTGTAGCTGATATTACATTAGCATCTATTGCAGTTCTGTGCTAACTGAAAACTACCTTACCTTACAGGGCACAGTATGAGGCGAGCCAATTTTATTACCCCAGTAGCCTCGCCTAACTGGGATGACGGTAAGTTTTGCCAGCATTATCGCTCCTCGGATGGCAGTAGCTACTTCTTTGGAACATTTTACTCCTAGACCTACATGACCATTGTGGTCACCCATAGCTACAATAGCTTTAAATCTTGTGCGTTGACCAGCTCTTGTCTGTTTCTGTACAGGCATAATTTTCATCACATCATCCTTAAGAGTGCTTCCAAGGAAGAAATCTATGATTTCACATTCCTGTAACAGAAAATGAAATCAATAAAATGTTATGGAAATCAAAAAGAACATGCCAAAGTAAAACAAAATAAGGCAAAGCAACAGCCTTCTGTTCGGCATGTATTTGTTAGCATTTTCCAGTTTATTGCCAGATGGCATCATGACCATTCAATTGTAATAATGTAAGAAAAAAGTTTAAAGACTAACTTATTTAAAAGAGACTCGATTTTTGAGGGACCAGACGATGAGGGACCTGCATCTGCTGCCCTTGAAACTGAGTCTTGGTTAAAATATATGCCAAACAGCAGGTTGTTGGTTTGCCTAATTTCATGTTATGGAAATGTTGCAAGTGACAGCGGCAAAACAGTAATATTTCAACACACATGTCAAAAGAGTGTATTAAACACAATAAATAATTTCTACACATAAAATAAGATCATATTACAATCAACCAATAGCCTAAATAATGACAAAAAGAATAATGTGTCCAAGAAGAAAAAACAAACTTCTATACATAGATTTCATATTTTTTTACTCAACATTTAATGCTTCCTCAAATATAGGTGTGTAACTTATTTTTGATGCTACATTTAAATGATTAACTATTTTGTATACCTAAGCTAATGAATACCAGTGAGTGCCATTTTTCTCAAGTTTAATATTCTCTTTCAAAACATCCATATATGCACATAAGCAAATTAATAAACATGTGAATTACTTCAGGAACTTAGTATAAGAAATCCACATCTGTCAGCCTCGATATATGAAAAAGTGGAAGTTTTTAGGTGGATTTTGCACTGCATGGGAGCCTCATTTTAAAAGTGCTCGAAACCGACTTAAATTCGCATTGTAACGCACGATTTACTTTATTCAGCTATTTATATTACAATTCTGACATCAAATATATTAATTCAAATTCTAAATTTTAAGTTCGTTTCCCCCCCCATTTTGTACTTAGGAAAGAGTATGGGATTCGAACTCACAACCCCAAAAGGGCAAACCCCACTGCCGTCAACTTTACCACTAAGCTACCGTCAAACAAGCGTGATTAGGAATTTTGCCTTATATACTTTATCAAGTAAATGAATTCTTAAAACTAAATTTTTCTTATTTCAGTGTGCTATCATCTAAAAAATTTACCAGAGTTTGTTCTCCAGCTTCTAGAGCATTTCTTACAAAAATATAATTTTTAAGTGGCATTCCGATTGAAGTCAGACGAACCGCTAAAAATATATTCAGAGTGAAAGATATGCTTACAAATATGTGTTAGCGAAAAAGGTATAATTATAAATAAATATAACTTTAACATACTTTTTAATGCAGAATATTTAAAAGGCTATCAAATTTAATTTACAAATAACGTTATTAGTTTTTACCTGTTTCAAAAGAAAAAAACATTTGTTTTATGCCTTATCTGATTTGCTATAGCAGTTTGATACAGTCAGACTTTCATTAAAAGTAAATGTGTATACAGAATAAGAAAATAATTGTCAGGACAAATTTTGCTGTTTCATGGACTGGGAATTGTACTTTTTTGCACCAGATTTTCTTGAAAGTAATCACTGCTCTCTGCGTACTAGTGCTGTAGCTGCAGTTACCTTATTTTTCTTTTCTTTTTTTTTTTTAAACTAAATTCAGTGATTGCTTTTTCATACGCAATTTCTCGCTATAATTTGAATTCAGAAATAAGTGTTTTTTAGCAAAACATTCTTTCATGGATCCAGCGTTCATCACTACTTCTACGGCCATTAGTTTTTGGTGACAACACCTGATTGCTTCTTTTTTTACCACATGACACCAACGCATCTGCAGACATACGGATAGAAGTTGAACTTCACCTGTCACCGCAAATCGACCAGATGTCAGACAAAGTGAATTTGCTCGCTGATTGGAGAAAAGCATACGCAGCAGTGGAAACTGGCTTTTAACAATAAAATAACACATCACCACCAGAATTTTCCTACTAGGTCCAAAGGCTCCCTACACTTATGGTGAGATTAGAAGTATTTCTGCCTAACAACTGGAAGGTCAGGAATTTGAATCTTTATGAAAGCATTATATATTTTTTTCTGTTTCCTGTTCTAACTTCATACATTGATAAAAATGAAATAAATACAAATATTTACTGAACATTTAGTTGAATCTTCCTATGAAGTTCTGTCTTCAGTATATGTCTATGTTCAGTTCTGTGTCTTTTATATTTTCAGATCATATAAAATTTTAACAAGAAAAATTATGCTGAAGACCATTAGAAAATGGGGGAGATGCAACCAACACAATTTCAGCTTCATAAATTCAATATCAAAACTTAAAATTCTTCAAAATTTCTCTCCGCAATTTAATTTTATGGCTAAAAAACATTTTCATTAATTCAGGACAAAAATTAAAGACCAGCAGAAAATCCAAGAGAGTTTGCAACTATGTTGCATGCAGATAAGTAAATTAAAACAGCAAATAGGTGTGAAGTATTTAACCCTTTGCGACACGCATATTAAAAATATATTCTAATCTTTAAAAAAATGCTTTAGTCAGATAGACTTACTTAAGTGCCTTTCAAGCTTGAAAAAAATTCTGCGTTTTTATTTTTTACGGGGGAAGGTGGGATACCGTTTGTCCTACCATCATATGTGGAATGAATAAACAAAATAAAGCATGCATTCTAAAATATTGATAATAAACACATTAAAATGCATTTTTTACAATATATTTAATATTTTTAAATTTTAGGAACAAAAGAAAATATTTTCTTGGATATTATTTTAAGATTAAAATTTGGTACTCATACATTTGATACTAAATAAAATATTAAAATTGGCATTTGATTCAAAAACATTTATGTATGATTAAAATTGAAAAACTTTATTTTTCATGAAACTTTGAAAAACATATTGTTTCATTCTTTTGTAAGCATAGAGGCACTTCACATGTTTCACACATACAAAATGTTCGTCGTTTTTCTTTCGATATGCACATCTTCTCCTGCTCGTTCTCTGTAGCGTGTGACTTATATTTATTTTTTAGTCTCTTTTCTGGTTGTACGAACGGTTTTTTAGTTTTTATTTGAACTGGTGATTTCAGTTTTCTTTTCAGCTCTTTCTTGCCTCTAAGTGCCATTAGACCTTCTATAACTGAGAGACGAAAATCTTTCATTGTTTTTACATCATGATCGGGTTCGCGAACAAACTTAAATAGAATAAATGCGTTTACTATACTCGCATCTAAAAAGTAAAAAAAAGATCCTGTGCCACCATTTCTTGCTTTTGCGGTCTATTTCATATAGTAATTTCAGTTGATCAAATAAGTCGACATATCCCATATTCTTATTATATGAAATAATGCCGTTTGGGAACAGTACCTTTTTTGTTTTCCCATCTCGTTCTTTTCTATTAATTTCTTTCATTTCAGTTGCCTTTTCCAAGCAAGACAGGATAGAAACAGATCTTTTATCCTTCCATTTTATGCAATAAATTGAATCATCGCTAACTGAAAAGTCTATATCTCCTCTTGACATAAATTTGTCTTCTTTTAAATTTTTGGATAGATACTTCCGATTCATATTTACAGTGCCACATGCATAGATGTTCTGAGTCTTTAAAAAGCGAAACACATTATAACTACTTCCCTTTCTTCTTCAGCAGTAACTTCAACCTTAGTCATTCTCTCCTGGATTTCAATTTCATCTGAATCAGAACTGACATCTGAAGCATTTGAGTCGCAATCGGATGGCAATTGAGAAAAAAAGATCCAAAGCTTCCCGAGTTGTTAATTTTTTTCTAGACATTTTAGCACATCAGAGCATACAATGGATGTAAAAACGCTGGCAATCACGGAAAAAATAGATGCAAAGAAAAAAGAAAAAATAATCGTGAGTGCTGCCATCTATTGAGCGGAAATTCAAGTATGTGGTGGGACAAATTTTAACCCACTTATTTCAACTGCAAAATTAATGTTATAAAATATTGAATCCAATTAAGATTTTTGAAAATAAAATACCTTTGAATATTAAAAAGAATCATACACATCCTAAATTGTATACCAAAATTTTTTAAATATTGAAAAATGCGAGATACCTGGATATCACTCTGGTGATCCTTTTTTGAATATTTTTTGCTTATAAACTTAAGCCCTGGCATAGAAGTGACATCTACTGAGAAAAATAACTAAAATCGATTACTTTTAAAAAATTAGAAAATTTCCAATGGAAATTGCTGAGAAAATAAATATTAATTAGGTGGGACACATATTGACCCACCATGCCGCAAAGTGTTAAGGAACTTGATATAATAATTTGCGTACATAATTATATTCTTAATCTATTTTTCAAAATAAATGTTCAGCATTTTTATAAAATTATCAAATGTAGTAATTTAGGTTAAATTTTAACCATATCAAATTGACGTATGTTTGCCATGGCAACACTGCCATTATGACCAGGGCAAAGTAAAACAAATACTGGCTGTAACTAAGAAGATAATGAATGGAGTACACTTGGTATCAGGATAATGGAGCCAAGAAAAAGTCAACATTGCAGCTTTAACTAATCACTTGGAAGAAAAGAAGGAATTTTTCTAAAATGAATAAATATCTGAAAGTTTTTAGCAAAACAATCATGTTCAAGTATCCAGAAATTTGAACAATTAACCTTGATGCCAAATGATATTAATCTTGCCTGCAAAAGCTCTATCAAAATAAAGAATAAATAAGCACATCTTTATTATTTTGAGGATCCTTACATACAGAAGTGGCTGTTGCCATTTTAATACGTCTTGAAATCTTATTAATCTACACTCACGTTTGTGAAAATTGCAACACCATGAAGGACTTACGCGAGTGAGCTGAAATTTTCAGGAAATGCAAAGTAGCGCATGATATGCAAATGATTAGAATTGCAAATCCGTAGCGCATGCGTATGCTGAGCAACGCCCTCTGAACAGCTGATGGATCCGAATAAATAGACGGCTGTAGCGAGGCGTGTATGGTTATCGGTGGTTATCTGCTAGTGGTAAACGTTAACTCAATCT